GCCGTCCGGCTTCCCTTCCTAAACAAGTGGCTCTTCACGGCGATTAGGGCTCTCTGTCGAGCAAATGGGCCGAGAGCTATCGCACGGCTCTTCTTTAATTTCCTTCTTATTGATTTCAGAATTTAACTAAGAAAAAATAAAAAAGGATTCAATTACAGTGCCACCTTTTTGTATTTCACACCTAATGATCCTCACGCAGCGGTGTAATTGGGGGTGAGCGGCGTCGGGAGTTAATGACAGATCCCGCGCTGCCCTCAGAGCCTCCTTTGGCCACAATTCACCGCGCGGCGACAACGAGAAGAGCATCACCTGCTCCGAGAGCCCCGCGCCCGAATTAGAGCAATGCAAATAAAGAAAGAGACAGTGCGCCAAAAATACCCCCAGAAGGGGAAAAAACAATCTCTTGTGGTAACTGCTCTCAGCGGGACGCAGGGCTGAAGCTGCCCCACACCAACGGCCGCGAACGGCTGTATGCGTCCCGCACGGAGCTCTGCGGGGGCACGGCGGGCCCCCGGCACGGCGCAGCGAGTGGCTCCGGCACTCCAAGGTGACCACCTGCGGGTGGTGTCACTGTGCAGGGCACGGCCCTGCTTCACGTCGAGCTCATAGCAATGGGAACGCGGAGCGGCTCAACGAGGGGACGGGAGCTGCCCGTGGGATCTAGGGAGGCATCTGGGGGTGTATCTTTGAGCAGGAATAGGAAACTGGGGAGCATCGGCCTCTCTGGCCAAAGCGCCTCTGCTCCACCACGCTGACTGCAAACACCCAAGCTGTTTTTTGTGGCACTGAACAAGTGTGGCCGCCTGATGCCTCGGGCACATCCTGCTAGGGCAGGTCGCTCTCCTGCCCCCGGCCCAGCAGCAGCACCCATCAGAGGAGCCTGATGTTCCAGGCACCGAGCCAGCCAGAGCCCTCCGAACAGAGCTGACGGCTGTTGTACCAGGACTGCTGGGCACGGAGGAACTTCTGGTTACAACAGAAGAGCCTGAAAATGTACGAGTGTATTCATCCACTCTGGCCTCTGCCCCTCTTAGAAACCCGCCGTGAGGGAGCGGCCGTGCCGCGCAGGGCTGTGCGAAGTGGGTGAAAACACACCCTGAGGAGGTCTGAAGTTGGCTGCTGGAGCAGTGGGAGCCGCGGCTCTCGTGTAGGACAGCAGAGGTGTTGGGGAGAACCTGCCGGAGGCACATGCTGTGTTTTACCTCTGAATGTCCTATGGGAAATGTTCCGAGCTCTTTGTCTGGTTGGGTGTGAAATATATTGAGATGAAGAATTTTTGGCAGCTGAGGTTCAGCCTTGCATCTGTGTATGTACATGGCAGCACGCTGATGGAGACCTGCGACTACTGACGCATCACCCAGGCAGCGAGGGATGCTTGTTGGGATCCTGCACTGGGAGCTGCCTGATGCCTATCCTGTCCGGGTGTCTGACGTGTGTTATGTGTTACGTGGTTGAGGCTGAAGCCCAGCAGCCTTTTGTCAGTCTGCAGAAGAGAATAGGTTCCTTATTATGAAACATCAAGCAGGGAGGACCCGGGTCCTCTGGGCAGCGCCTAGGTGCATCTCCCTTGGGCCCCACAGACCCCTGGGTTTCCTGACCTCCCTTCCTCTGTGTGCGTTTCCAAGCACATTCACATTGACAGGGGGCTGACATCAGCCGTACTACCCTTGTTGCTGGCAGCTAATGGAAGCAGACTGCTCAGTGGCACATCTTCCTGCCCTTCAATCTGTATCTTCTGGTGATCTGGAAAGTGGAGGCATCAATCTGACATTTTTGTGATGCTCTGATAAGAGCTAACACAGACCCTGCAGCACCGATGGACTGGGACAGAGGTTTCTGCTCTGGCACAGGCATCCCTCTGGGAATGCTGACCCTGGCTGCTGCATGCTGCGGGCTGAAGGCAGTGCAAGATGTGGTGCAGGCAGCAGAGGTATCATGGAGGTGCAACACACGCAGTCATCGTGCCATGAGCTTTCTGCTCCCCACTGCCAGGCAGCAGAGCTGCTGCAGCAGGGCGCGTAGACACGAGCACCACTCGGAGTGAGCATAACAGCTCTGGGTGAGGGCAGAACAGAAGCAGTAATGCACACTGACCAAAAAGGAGAAGTCGCGGCATTTCCTGCCCTTCTCTCATACTCTTAAGAACAAAACCTGCCGTGTTGCCAGCTGCAGCCTCGCTGCGGGATCTAACTGCTGCCCTAACGTCGCATCTCCCACCATCAGCCCCCGGTGGTGGCACCGCTGTCCGACGGGGCCGATGAGCTCCTGCCTGGGGCTTTCCTGCACGGGACAGCACTGCCGTGGGTTGTTCCTCCCCGCCCCATCTCCATCCTGGGCTGCCCGCACTCTGTGCCGTGAGGGTAGCGGCCGTCACGGCACGGAATGCCCGGGACAGCCCGGATCGCACCACCCGCTCTGGCTCCGGTCATGGGCAAACTCGTCCCGGGGGTCCGTTCGATCTCGGCGGCCTGCCGTTCTCCCGCAGTGGTGTTGTAAAGTGAAAAAAAACAGACAAAATAGGGAGCCTGAGGCACTCTCGGGATAGGTGGATATTTGTGCGGCAGCAAAACGCGCCCCGCTTGCTGCCCAGGGGCGGAAGAGCACCGGCGTCCCCCGGTCGGCCGGGATGGGCGCTGCTGTGTGGCCCGGAGGTGACACAACGCAAAAAACACGAGGTGTGCCGCCGAGGCTCAGGGCTCTGCGCGGCCCTCTGCCCCCGCCCGCTCCGCACCGCACTGCGTCGCCTCCTGGGAATGGGCTGCCCGGTCCCGGTGCGGGCAGTGCCGAGGGGAAAGGCTCTGCCGGCGCTCCGCTCCCGGGCGGCCCTGAGCCGGGGCTGTGAGCTGCGAGAGCGCCGCGGGGCAGGGGAATTGCCCTTTCACTTCCGAGGTCTGTGAACCAGACAGAAAAAAAATCCATGACCTCACCACCTGAGGGAAAGCAGCAGCGGCCCTCAAAAGGCCCCAAAACTCAGATTTACGCCGCTCCGCAGCATTTCTCCCCGCTCCGTGCGTGTCGGCCGCTCGCCGCCCGCAGAGCACGGCACGGCCTTGGGGATGCTGCGGGCCGGGGATGCCCTGTTCCTGCAGCCGTGGCTCCGCGGTGCCCTCGTCCCGGTGGCTGTCAGATACAAATCCGGGGTCGTACCGCGGAGCTGCTCGTTGGAAGAACGGCACTGTGGTATTGTTTGGAGTCCCTTCCAGCTCCCTGAGCCGCAGCCCCGTGCACAGCCCTTTCAGGCCCTGCCGACCGCAGACGTTTGCTGCCAGCAGAAGCGGAGCATTTCTTTTCCAGGAGATATCTCCAGCCCCGACCCTACTGCTGCACAGCCGCCGCGGTGCGCGGGGCTGCGGGGCACCGCACTGCCTGTCGCTGAATCCAAGCCCCTCTCCTGCGGACAGAACCGAGCGGGGACTCCCATCGCCCCCACCCCCCACAGCGCAGCACCCGGAGCCGACCCCCGTCCCCCCGTTCGTCTCTCAGCCGGCGGGGCACAGGGCGAGAGCCGGGGCCGCAGAGCCCTGCGTGCTATTTTCAAACGCGCTCGCACCGCGCAGCCCAGGGGCAGCGCAGGCCCAGGGAGCCGACAAAGTCCAGGAGTCCAAGGGCGTGTGCGAGGCAGCGGGCGGGGAGCCTGTAGGGGTCCATCCCAGCACGGCTTGTTGTTCTTGTTTGCTTCCTTTTAAAATTATTATTAATGATCTTCTCTCTCTCTCTCTACTTCTTTTTTTCCTTCCACTTCCCGTGCAGAGCAGCGCTGCTCACACTCAGTGCAGGTGCAGCGGGCTCCATCCCTGTGGTTATTGGTGTGTGAGAGAACCGGGGGGAGAAGCACTGCTGAGAGGGGCGGCTGAGGCCGGGGGACGCCGCGCAGGAGCAGGCTCGGGTCTTTGCATGGACTTCATTCGTTCCATGTTCCCGCGGGAAGGGGCCGGGCCCCGTCGGGCAGCTCAAGGCAGGGGCGCGGTGCAGTCGCTCCATGCGGGGCTGCCCCGGTCTGCCGCTGCTTTCCGTTTCTCTTTATTTCCGGGAAAGGAAAAAAAGTGCTTTTTTTTTGGAGTGGCTCTTATTTCGTTTTTTTTTGTTTCTGTTTTTTTTTGTTTGTTTGTTTGCTCTTTCTTTTTTTTTTTTTTTCTTTTTTTTTTTTTTTTTTCCCCCGGGCAACCACGCTGACAAATAAACGCCGCAGCCCCTGCAGCCCCCGGCCCGGCTCCGGGTATCATCCGCCCTTCGCTTCCTTCTCCCGGCCGTGACACGCAGAGCGGGGAAGGGTAACGGGGCCGCGCAGGGTCCCCCCCCTGCCGCGGGACAAAGCCACGTTCCGCCCCCGCGGAGGGGAGCGAAGAAGGGGAAGTGGGCTGCAGGCGGGGGCGGCCGGGCGCGGCCGGGCTGCGGGTGTCGGCGGGCCCCAGGCGGGTCCGGTCCGCGCGGCGGCGGGGTTGGGGCTCGGCAGGCTCGGGTGCGCCTGGGGACATCCTGTGATGCTGCAGCGCACAGGACATGATCTCACATGGCGAGGGGCTCCGCGGCTTCTTAATCATTTCACGGTTCCTTCAGAGGCTTTTTTTCCACCTAAAACGTTTAGTTTCAGCTCAGTGAGCGGCTGCAAAAGCTCTGCGGGGAGCGGAAGGGTTGAATTATTCTGACCTGAGAGAGCCACGGGAAAAAAAAAAAAAAAAGAAAAAAAGAGAGAGAGAGAAAAGAGAGAGAGAGACAGAGAAAAGGAAAAAGGGAAAAGAGAAGAAAAGTCAAAAACAGAAAAGAATAAAAGAGAGAACGAAGAAAAGATAAAAAGAAGAGAAAGGAAAAGAAAAGAAAGGAAAAAGGAAACAAAAAAGAAAAGAAAATAAGAGAAAAGAAAAGAAGAGAAAAGAAAAAAGAAAGGAAGAGGAACTAAAGGAAAAAAAGAAAAGAGGAGAAAAGAGGAGAAAAGAGGAGAAAAGAGGAGAAAAGAGGAGAAAAGAGGAGAAAAGGAAAGAAAAGGAAAGAAAAGGAAAGAAAAGGAAGAAAAGAAAAAAAAGAAAAGAAAAGAAAAGAAAAGAAAAGAAAAGAAAAGAAAAGAAAAGAAAAGAAAAGAAAAGAAAAGAAAAGAAAAGAAAAGAAAAGAAAAGAAAAGAAAAACGAGAGAAGGCATCAACACACTACGTGCAAACTTTTTCTGTCTCCTTCCACCAACTCCTCCAGGATCGCAATGGATTTGGAGAAGATCTACGCGGCCACGCGGCCCGGTCGCACAGGTACGGAGCGGAGCGGCGGAGGGAGCGGGGGACGCGGCGGTCGAGGGAGCGCAGAGAGGCCTCGGCCGTCTCGGAGCCGCCGCCAGCACGGTGAGCGGTGCCGTGGGGGCTGCGGCGGGGCGGCGGAGCGGTGCCGTGCGGGAGCCTCGCGGACTGCGATGAGCAATGCGATTCCGCACCGATCGATGGGGCCTTTATTGGTTAAATCGCCCGAATAATCGCTCCGTCGATACCGCACTGCACTGCCGCGCCCGGAGCGCCGTCGGGGGGGGAGGGAGGAGGGGGCGGCGGGGGGCGGTGGAGGGGCGGCGAGGACGGCGCACCGGGCCGCGAGGCTGCGGGAGGGGCGCGGTGCGGGGTGTTTCCCCGGCCCCCGGCCCGCACTGCCCGCCGCCCGCCGCTAGCCCGGCGCACGTTCGCTCCGTTCTAACGCTGCCACGCCGCAGCGGGCAGCCCTCCCACGGGGGGTCCCGGCCCCGGTCCCGACGGGGCGGGCTGACTGCTCTCCCTGAGCCGGCGGCGGGCAGAGCCAGGGGTCCGCGGGCAGGGAGCGGGGCTACGGCCGGGGCTGGGCGCGCCCTCGGGGCCCGGAGGGCGGAGGACCGGGGCGACCCCGGAGGGGGCGGGGCGGGGCGGGGGCGGGGCTTTACCCGGCTCCGCCCGGCTCGGCACCGCCCACGCCCCCACGTCCCCATTGGCCCACGGTCAGCCAATGGGAGCCGGCGCGGTGCGGCGGCCAATGCTGGAGCCGCAGAGCGAAGCGCGGCGATTGGCCTCGGATTGTGAGTGACGTGCGGCGCCCCGCCCCGCCTCTCGTTTTGCCGCTGTCCGGCGGCGCGGTGCTGAAGAGCCTCCCGCCGCGCCTCCTCCGCGGGTGCGGGCTGGCGCGTAGCGCGGCCGGGGGGCAGCGCTTGGCCGGAGAGCCGGGCGGGGCCGCGGGGTGGAGTCTGCTCCAGCTCTCGGACTGCCGCCCCCCCTCGCCCTGCCCCGCCGCCCGCCCCCGGCCCGCCCCTTCCCCGCCGCCCCCCCACCCTGCACAACCCCGCGGCGCCGGGGGCGGGCAACGCGGGGCGCGACGCTCGGCTCCGCGGCATCACCGCGACGGCACGGCGAGCGGAGGCGGGCGGTTCGCTCCCCACGCTGCCGGTGCGGCCCCGACGGCGGCCACCGACGGCCCCGCCCCGCCCCGCGCCGCGCGCCCCCCGCCCCGCCCACACAGCCGCCACAAGTTCCCGCAACTCGCGCGGCCCCGGACGCGGGGTGCTCCGCGCTCCGCCCGCAGCTCCCAGCGCCGTCGGGGCGCACCGGGACGGCCGCCCCCAGCCGCCGCCGCCGCCGCCGGGGCCGCGCGGTCCGCGGGTGTGGGGGCGGCGGTCGCGCCCCGCGCCCCGCCCGAAGGCGGCGGAAGGAGCGGGCGGTGCCGCCGTTGGATGCTCGCTCGCCGCGCCGCTCGCTCCTCTCTTCCGCGCCATCAGCCCGCGATCTCCGCTCGCGCTGAGCGCCGCCGCCGCCGCCGCGAGGTGCGCTCCGCGAGGCCGCCGGACCGCCCCGATGGAAATACACTGTAAGCACGACCCGTTTGCAGCAATGCATAGTAAGTAGGCTGCCTGCCCCCTCCTATGGCGCGCCGGGCACCGGGCGCTGCGGGTGCGCTCCGAGCTCCACAGTCCGCGGGGCGCAAACGGAACCGCGCGTTGCGGCCGAGTGGGAATGGCACGGGTACCCGATGCCGCTCCGCGCCCCGTGCGGGGATGGTGCGGAAGTGTTGCTTGGCGGAACCCCGCGCGGACTGGAGCGCCGATAACGGGCGGCGGCGGCGGGCGCTTTGTTCCCGGGTTCGTTTTGATTCTAATTTATTTTTCCTGGGATTTCTGCTACGGCAGAGAAGCCTCTCATGCTCATATACTCACGCACGCTCCAAACTGTATTTTTTAAAAATTTATTTATAATCCTCTTCGATCTGTGACTCGCGGCTATACGTACACAGGATACATGTACATATACTCCCCCAGGGAGAAGCGCTCTCGGCGCTGCCTCCAGACGGAAAAGTTTCCCGAGCGATATTGCCAAACATTCTGATGCGCATTTATTAAACCAAAATAAACGCAGCAGCGCGGAGGGCCGTGCGCGCGTCAGCCCCGAGGAAAGAGCCGCTGCTCTGTGCTTCGCGCCGGAGAGAGCGGCGGAGCAACGGCGGAGCGCGGGGTCGGCGTGGCTGTGCCTTTCTCCGGGTGCGGGGAGAGAGATCCTCGGCGCGGTGCCACCGGAGTGCGCGGTGCCTTCAGTGCTGCGTTACGGCGGGGGACGTTGGGGCAGAACGAATCTCATTTCCCGGTGCGCCACGGCTCTTTCAGTGCCAGAAATTTGTTTTCGACATAAAACGCCGAGAGCGAGGGCTGCGGGTCTGCGCCTCTTCCCTTTCCGCCTCCCGCTCCGTTTGTCCCCTACCGTCCCCTGTCCGTCTGCAGTCCGGGAGGCGCTGAAGCAGCGAGGCGCGGGCGGGACGGCCTCTGCCTTCCCCCAGAACGGCGCTTCCTAGAGCTTTTTTGTGCCTCGGGCGAATCAAACGACACTTTAAAAGGGAGAACTCCAGGGGCACCAACAACGCCCTGTCCGGTGCCGCGGGGTCGTGGAGCTCACCGAGTGTCCTAGCGAAGGGCTCCGCTAGGAGCTACCCCGCACTCAGCCACAGCTGCGGGAACGAGCTTCTGCTGCGGGAATTCGGTTGGAAAAGGAAAGGGAAAAATCTCTTCCCTCGCTCTGATCCCGCAGCCGCTCACGGGAAGATCGCAGCTCTCTTCATCCTCCAGCTTTCGCTTCGCTCCGCGCGGAGGGGCTGAGGGAAGAGGAGCGGGGGGACCGGGAGGGGGCCGGTGAACGCGGCACCCGAGAGTGCCGTGCGGGATCCGCCGCGCGGCCCGTATCCAAGCGGTGGCACCCCGGACGCTGGCGGGGCGTCGGCCGCCGGGGGTGGGGGCCGGGGCCGGCCGGGAGAGCAGCGGCACTGCTGGCCCTATGCAGGAGCCACCCGCAGCCTTTGTTCGTAGCGGCTGCGGGGTGTGCGGCTGCACGGCCAGCCGGCCTCGGGGTTGCGTCCGCGCCTGGAGTGAGACCGAGTCCGTGTCCGAAGAAACCCATCCTTCTCTTCCTTTTCTTCTTTCCTTTCTTTCTTTTCGTTCTTTCTTTCTCTCTGTTTTGTTTCTTTCTTTTTTTTTTTTTTTTCCCTCTCATTTCTTTCTTCCTTTCCTTTATTATTTTTTTCTGTGCCTTATTTCTCTATTTCCTTCCTTCCTTCCTTCCTTCCTTCCTTCCTTCCTTCCTTCCTTCCTTCCTTCCTTCCTTCCTTCCTTCCTTCCTTCCTTCCTTCCTTCCTTCCTTCCTTCCTTCCTTCCTCCCTTCCTCCCTTCCTCCCTTCCTCCCTTCCTCCCTTCCTCCCTTCCTCCCTCCCTTCCTCCCTTCCTCCCTTCCTTCCTTTTTTCTTTCTTTTCTGTTTCTTTCTCCCTCCTACCTCCATCCCTCTGCCATCCTCCCTCACCCGCAGATTTTCATCACTGGCACTGAGCACATTGCCTCTGATTTCTTATATCGAAAGCCGCCGATAGGTGCCGAGCTCGGGGTCCCACTCATTTTCACGTTGAGATGTTGACCCCACGTTTTGCCCTCTCTGAAGCGCTGCGTTTCTCTCCCAGCTTGGTCGGGCAGCAGTTCCCGGTCCTCCCGGAGTTGCTGCAGTTCCCGGGCCGCCGCGGTGCCCCACTCCGCTCTGGACACGGCTGGTGGTACATCCAGGGCTCGGCCTGGCCGCGGGGATGGGACGCTTCCACCGCCGGTACAGGCGGAGCTGCCCTCGCCCCGCAGGTTGCAGCAATCACGCATCTCACGTGGATTAATTATGTGCCTTGACAGCTTTGGAAGGTGTTGGCAAAGTTTAACATCAATATATCAACGGAGAAATGACTTAAAAATTAAAATAAAAGTAGCTTTTTATTCTTTACTTTTTTTTTATTAATTCTTTTTTTTTTTTAATTTTTATTTTTATTGTTTTTTATTTTTTAACTCGGTGGAGGCATTTGACTTGTCAATTTATTCGGGACCGTTCGGGTTCCCTGTGCAAACAGGGAGATTTTCTTTTATTTTTGTTCCAGCATTGTCACCCGCGCTGCCCGCATTGTTTGTTTTCAATTTCCCCACTCCGCAGCCTGAGTAATTCTGATGGTTAGCGCCACGAGGGCTAATTGCATTTTCTCACTTGGCGGACGGAGTGCTGCCTTCACGTTCACGGGTTTTACGCAGCTCCCCCACTTTGTCTGAGCGGCCCGCGTATCCCGGGCACCTCGCTAAGGAGAGCAGTGCCAACCTGCTGCAAGACGAGCGGCGCGCCGGGCTCGGCTCGGCGCTCACGTTTCATTTGTGGGATGGTAACGCTACCTAAGAGCGCCATAAATTGTTACGGCTGAAGCCACTGTTTTTCACTCTCGATTAACTTCAGCAATTTGGAGGAAAAAAAAACCAAACAAACACAACCAACAACCCCCTTCCCCTCCCCCCCAAAACAAACAAACAAACAAAAAACCAACAACAACAACAAAAAAACCCGACGCATTTCATTCCGGAGACCCCGAACAAGCAGCGATCGCAGGGCTGTAGGAGCCCCGGGCCGCGCGGCGCTCGGAGAAGCGATGTCCCCACGGCCGGGCCGGGACTCTCGCTGCGCTTCCGGTGCCGTTTCCCCAGCGGAGGGCTGCGGACCCCCCGCGTTGCGCGGCGTAAAAGGGGGTGCGGGGCTGCGGGGAGCGCGGCCGCTTCCGCGCCGGAGGGAGCGCAGCGTGGCCCGGGCGGCTCTGCCGGCGCCGAGGGCGGCCGCGGGGAAACGCGTCCCGCCTCTGACCGAGCCGCTCTTCTCCTGCCCCTTCCCCTCCCCGTGTGTTGCAGGACACGGAGGTGTGAACCAGCTGGGGGGCGTTTTCGTGAATGGCCGCCCCCTGCCCGACGTCGTCCGGCAGCGGATCGTGGAGCTGGCGCACCAGGGGGTGAGGCCGTGCGACATCTCCAGGCAGCTCCGCGTCAGCCACGGCTGCGTCAGCAAAATACTCGGCAGGTACGCAGCGGGAGGGCGTCCCGGGCCCAAGTGGGTTCGGGACTCGCGATGGCCGCTCCGGGTTTTGCCAGCCCCACGTGGAAAAGAGAAGCGCTTTGTATGCTTTGCCCCTCGCACAGCCTCTAACGGGCAACGCTAACGCAAAGCGCGCTGTGCCACATGGGCCAGCTCTGCCGTGCACAGCATGCATCCCACACCTGTCTGCTCTGAGCACGTGGGAACCCAGCGGTCGTTCCAGCACGGGGGAGCGGAGGTGGAACAGAAGTCACCACGCTGTGTGCTGGAGAAGACTTCCTCTGGGCGGTTCCACCGCTCTGCATGGCCGGGACGTGACACCTGCCTGCTCACACACAGCTCTCTCAGAAATCCACCCCACTGCTCAGTTTGTGCCCTCTCCTACTCCTGTGCTGGAACATGAGAGCACGGAGTACCAGGAACTCTATGAACAGCCTTAGATGGTGGGATTTTGGAAATATCTTTCCGTTCAGATCGAGGTTGCTCAGATCAGTGTGGTGACAGCGCATTACTCCCCAAGTCTGTGGTATTTCCTGGTTTTGGTTTAAAAGATGAAACCGATTCTGTTTAAGAATGCCGCAAAACAAGCACCATACAAACATGAACATCATGTGCATAAACATACGCATTATGTGCAAAATTTGGAGTTACCCGTGGATTATATATTTACATGTATTTTTTTCTCGTGATGTATTTTGTTTGATAATTTCAAACTCTTGCTTTCTGAGATATTTACTAAACTTTAACAGTTAGCTTTGTTGCGTAACATTTTACTGTTTGTATGTGTGCCCTCCCGCTGTTTCCCACTTTTTGACCAATTTCCCCCACTGACCATTAAATAGATGCAGAGGCTGTCAAAGCACTTTTTGGTAGCATGGGATCCGGCTCAGATTAGCAGCGTTTGTGATCTCTCAGTCACTTAAGTGCTCAGAAGCAAACGTGATCGGTGTAGTCATGGGCCCCTGGCTTCATAGATGTCAGCATTCTTGTCCCCACAACGTGCTGTTATCTGCAGCCAGCTTATAGCTGCCGGGTGCTATCTGCATGCCCTGCATGGAGTGCTGCTGGAGGAGCAAGCTGCCACACCGTGCTTCCACTCTCAGTCCTGCGCCTCAGCTGCACAGAGGCACTGTGGTGCTGGCTGCATGCCTCCCTCTGGGCTGATGCTGGAGTGGCTGTAGAAACACCACCAGCTTTATCCTTAGAGACGGAGCTTCCCTTGGGCTTCCCATGAGCCCGCCGTGGGCTCTGCCTCTCTGGAGCACTGTGCCTGTGCTCTGGAGGCCTCTGTTCCAGGTGTGCTGGGGAGGCTTTGCTTGGTGCTGTGAGTGTCCAGACAGCTCCATCAGGACTGGCGTACTGAAGAATGGGCGATGTGTTGATGGGCACAGAGTGTGGTGGTTTTAGTGCTGCAGGCTGGAACAAATTTATCACTGGGCACATCTGCAGCATAGAGCAGATAGTGGAGCTCCAAAGCTTTGCCATTAAAGTTGTCAAAACTAAATCGTAATTTCATACCTAATTATTTTCATAACTAATAATTACAGTGGGCAAAATGTCACTGTAATTGGAACTCTGTGCGTGTGTGTGAAAACTGAGGATCCCTGTGAAGCACACTGCCCCTCGGCACGTCGTGATGGGACTCAGCTTGGAGCCCCTGGGCCTTTTGTGAATAGGATGCGGCTGCTGCAGCAAGCCTGGCCCCAGAGTGGAGCTGGGATGGGTGTTCCATGCAGCCCTCCTTTGCCTTCTGCTGCTGCTCTATGGATTGTCTGCGTGGGCAGAAGGCAACAACAGAAGTGTCACCGTGCACGGGGCACCCATGGTGACTGCAGGCTGAGTGTGAGAGCAGGCTCTGGGTGTGAGAGCAACCTGCTCTGAGCATGTGTGCATTGCTGTGAAGCTCGAGGCAGCTGGGGCAGGTTGGCAGGTAGTGGTTTGGGTGCTTGGCACTGTGTTGTCCCTGTCTGGATCACTCCATATTCCTGTCCTACATCATGGCCACCTGGGCTGTCCCCAGCAGCAGGGCTGAACCGTGGGACATCGTGCATGGGAGCAGTAGGGCAGTGTGGCTGGAAAACACCAAGGCATGTTGTCCCATCTGTGGTGATGGCTGGTACTGAGGAAATGGACTGAGGAAACAGCATTCTGTTGCACCATCGTGCGCTGCACAGCTTTTCTCCATGTCCTTTCTTAGCAGAAAGATGCCACCAGAACAGGGGATGAAACCAGGGATGCAAGGGTTAGGGAGGTTTGTTGTCCAAGTGTACCATCTTACGGTCCTCTGGAAACTAAATGGGAGAGCAGCTTAACTGCACCCCTGTTCACTAAAGCATGTTGCTGGGCTGGGTTTAGGAATGCCTCAAGAGTTGATCTGTCTTTGACACTTAAAGCTGCCCATTACTAATATTGCCTGAATGGCTGCTGAGACAGTCTGCATCTGCACCCAGAATGTTTGCAGACATGCACAAACGTTGCAGTGCCAGCCCTGTGCAGGACCTGCACACAGAGCTCTCCCTGAAAGACAGAGCCAGCAGCCTGGCAGAAATCTGATGAGCACTGTTGTATGTTACAGTCAGACAGACTTTGGCTGTGCAGCCTGTTTGTGTTCTGCTGTGCTGGAAATAGTTCAGAATTTATTATTATTATCATCATTATTTTGGATATAATGGTTATGTCAAGTAACTGCAGAGAAAATAGGCTGATTAAAACAAAAACAAAACCAAACGTGTTGTTCTTATCTGAGAGTCTTTTCAGAGCTCCTTATGAGAAATAAGGGCGCAGAGCGATCAGTGGGTGAGTTGAGACTGTAAGGGAGCGCAGCTCAGTGGTTGCTGGCTGGAAGGGGCAGCTCAGACAATGGCTGCAGAGACTGCAGATTTGTGTTTCATCAACAAAATTCACAGGACAGCTAAAAGTGCACAACCCTGAGAACACTGTGTGCGTTGTGCTCCCTGGGTGCTCAGCATGATTTCACTCATCGTCTCCCTCCTGCTCCTGAGTGGATCAGACACAACATTTTTAACAGCATTTTCAAAGCTTTCCTTATTAAAAGAGAGAAATGTGTGGGGCTGAGGAGCTCAACTACCATGCTTTGTTGCAGTTCTGCTAAAAGCAGTTGTGCCTGTGATTTGCATGCAAAAAAACATCCATCTGGCATATTTTGGTCAGTGTCAGGACTCCATCCTACCTGCTTTGCTTGTATGACATCAACAGAACTGTTTGCTGTAGAAGTAGAAATCGTATCTGTGAGGAAGGATTGCAGAGCTGGTCAGAAAAACAAACCCCCAAACCAGCTGAGCCCGTTGGGAATGCCAAGAACTCCCCTTTCCTTCACATTTCTCATCTGAACTACTGGAAGAATCATACTAAAAATATATCTGTTATGAAAAACATTAACTATTAAAGCAATAGCATGCATATTAAAGCCACAAAATGTGGAAAAGGCATGCCAGCATATTAGCTGCTAATGTGCAAATAAAAGATGATCTCATGCCCTCGCTTCACGATGAAATGCTAACAAGTTGTAGATGTTGGTGACAGAGTATTTCCTTAGATACAAGAATTTACTGCAAAAAAGGGTCTTCGGTGAGATTTGTTTCTGTTATTGCCAGAACCTCTGATTAATTACACACATTTTCAGTTAATTTTGGATACCAGCACGCCCTTTAATCTTGCGTTGTTTCTTTTGTCTTTCTGTTATGAGAAAATATCTGTTCCCTCCTACGGCCCAGTTCCAATTACTATAAGTTAATCTATTAGGTGATAAAGCACTACATAGGCAGAAAATGTGTACGTGAAAGTGAAGATGTATCTTAGGATTTGCTGGGGTTTGGTTACCTTGAAATTATGTTCTCTACAAATCTCGAAGCGTGCCTTCTGTCTGCCTGCGATAACTGAAGATTTGCTTTGGATGTTGTCCCAGGTATTATGAAACCGGGAGCATTAAGCCTGGAGTGATTGGAGGATCAAAACCAAAGGTCGCCACACCCAAAGTTGTCGAAAAAATCGCAGAGTACAAACGCCAAAATCCCACCATGTTTGCCTGGGAGATCAGGGATAGACTCCTCGCGGAGCGAGTGTGTGATAACGACACCGTGCCCAGCGTCAGTTCCATTAACAGGTGAGGATTTGTGCCGTCTCGGGAAGGGGCTTTCCTAGGAGATGCGGTCAGCGGATCCTCATCTGCTAGCGGAAGCCAGGATGTGTTGTGCAGTCTATCTAAAATGCAGTCTGTGTGCGTTTGAATGCCACGTTTATGGTTGTGGAGCAGCCATGGGGCCACTCTGCTGGTGAAAGCATCACAACCGTCAGCGTTCCCCAGCAGCAGCCAGGTTGTGCCATTGGCCTTTGCTTCCTTTCTGCCCTTTCCATTCTCCTGTTCGTGACTTGCAGTTCTTGCTGGTAAAGATTTGTGTTTGGTGGATCCCACTCAGTGGGAAATGCCTCTGCTCAGAGAACCCAGCTGCGTTGGGTGCTGGTGGTCACCTGGAGGAAGACTGGCCCCGTGTTGCTGGAGAAGTGGACTCAAAGCACGGCTCTCAAGGTCTTCCTGTCACCTACCGAGTATTGCTGAGCCTGGCTCAGAATCGTGCTGGCTGCTGCCTGGTACTGTCAGCACGATTATAACAGGGAAATGTGGTTTAGTAGCATCCGCGTGCTGAATGGAATTGCTTGAGTCGCCTTGAATTCCTGTGTGTCAGTGCAGGAAAATCTCATTTGAAGCCTTGTTCCCATGTGTGTGAGATCTCTCCTGGCATGGTGAGGCAGCACCTGCCTCACTTGCAGTTCTGAAGCTATGCTGATCTGCTTCCATCCCAGTCAAGGATTGTCTAAGGCTGTGACTGAAAAAGCACAGAGAAATACTCTGTTTTGTCTCCAGTCTTCCTGGTCTGACAATAAGGGATTAACACTTGGAAGGAGAGCACTTCATCACCCTCCTGCACACCAGCAAACAGAACCCTTTTATTTTCTCTTGGGAGTATGCTTCCTACCAGGTTTTGGCTTCACTGCTCTTCTGAGATATTTCTCACTTGCACGATTTTGTGCAAATTCTATGAGTCCTTACAGATATCTGTAAAGTCCCACCTGTGTCCATGGACATGAAGTAGACTGATGCAGTGTTCTTTCATTGACTATCCTGACCTGATTTGCATTCATGGAGCTCCTGCTTGAGCAGCAGGAGTGGCTTCCCCAGCAGCAGTGCAGAGTATTGTCTCTGTCTTACTGAACTGAGCTATCCATCAATATGGTTAAGGGCAAAAATGGGTCAGTTGGCTCAGCCTTTGCTACTGACTGGAAGTTCTTGTCTAACTTAGGCTCCAAAACATCATTCAGTAATGTTACAGATACAGAATCACAGAATCATAGAATTGCAGGGGCTGGAAGGACCCCCAGAGAAATCACTGAGTCCAACCCTGCAAAACCCCGGGCTCCTACAGCAGGCTGCAGGTGGGCGTCCAGGCGGGTCTGAAATATCTCCAGACAAGGAGAAGCCACAGCCTCCCTGGGCAGCCTGTTCCAGAGCTCTGCCATCCTTGCCGTGAAGAACTTCCTTCTCATACACGTGCAGAACTTCCCGTGCTCCACTTTATGGCCATTTCCCCTTCTCCTGTCCCCACTGACCGCTGACAAGAGGCTGGCCATGTCCTTTGGACTCCCACACCTCAGATATTCATAAACATTAATCAGATCCCTTCTCAGTCTTCTTTCCTCAAGGCTGAACAGAACCAGGTCACCCAGCCTTTCCTCACAGGGGAGATGCTCCAGGCCCTTTAGCATCCTCATGGCCTTCTGTTGGACTGTCTCCAGGAGATCCCTGTCTGTTTTGTACCAGGGAGTCCAGAACTGGGCAAAATACTCCAGGTGAGGCCTGACCAGAGCAGAGCAAAGGGGGAGGATCGCCTCCCTTGGCCCGCTGGCCATGCTCCTTTTAATGCACCCCAGGAACCCATTGCCTTCTTGGCCACCAGAGCACACTGCTGGCTCACTGCCAGCCTGTCATCCACCAGGACCCCCAGGGACAAGGCATTTTCAGAACAATCTGAGGCATGGTATGGACACCATGAAAAGTGAAGGAAAATCCCATTCTGGCCGTTTGCAGATAACAAAGAGTAAACTTGGTGATCTTCGTGGGTCCCTTAAAACACAGCATATTCGGCAGTTCTGCAGTTCTGTGGATCTTTGCTTTCATAAAAGTCAGCTCAAGTCCTGTTGTGTCAGAAGCATGGCTGCTGCTATGAGTAGCACTTTGTCCATGTAGCGATTCCTCAAGCTTTGTCCAAAAGCCCACCAAAAAAAGCAGCAGTAGCTTGGGAATGCAGTGGGACTATATATGTTCCAGTTGTATTTTGATCCATTTTCCATTGTCCGCCTTCTGCTGCATCCTCAAATGTTTCTACATTGGCAATGTCCACACACTCATTGGCACTGCATCAGAGATGATGTTTAATGACCTATTGCCAAGTTATTTGGGTGGAAATCTCATTCTTTCTCATCTGCTTGCAACTCTGCTTAAGAACCTTCCTTTTTTTTGAAGATGTGAAGCCCCGTGTGAAATGCACATGGTCTTTGAGAGTCAGTCTGTTTAGAATTGCTTTTGCCAGTCTCGGAGAATATCTTGAAAACCCAAACTGAACCGCTGTGACAAGGTCATGGAAATTATGTCTAAACACTTGGCTTTAATGGCAACTCCTTTTATTTCTGTGGCACATTTGGTGGGATCTGTCCTTACACACATCAAGGCTTCATGGATAGCGCTGTCGCACACTGAGGGCAGGAACTCCTACTCTGAAGGCACAGTGCCTTCTTCAGCCCTATGCTGGAAAGCCAATGTTGCCTTCTGGCTGATGAAGTGAATCCTCACCAGGAGCCACTCAGGATGTTTGCCATCTTGGTGGAGGCCAGTTGACCCAGCCTTGAAACTCCTGAACAGCCTATGCAGTACAGGGCAGGACAGACCTGCAGTGATGTTCCACCAGTTCTGCTTCTGCTGTGTGGAGGAAGGTGATGCCCAGGGCTATGCTGATGTCTTCAGGAGAGGTGCTGTTGCTGCTGGGAGACTGAGGGGACGGAGTGGTGCACTGCAAAGCCATCGTGATGGATCACGGGTAGCACATCCCTGCTATGGAGGGTACATTTCAGCAGATGAATTTGAGTTGCTGCCATCTTATATGAGTGAATAATAACTACTGTTATTAATTAGTAACATTAATTAATATTAATAGTAGGCCAATCCTCTGCAGCAGGAGCAACTCCATACGACTAAGGCTTAATTAATCATTATGATTAGCTTTGCTCAAATAAGCTGCCCAGCTGCTTTGACATGCTCCAGTCCCTGGTCTCTCCAGAGATGAAGAGTTCTTTGTGTCAGAAGGCCTCAGACACCCTTCCTTTGCTGGAGCATGAAGGAAGGCTAGGGCAGGGTGCTCTAGTCTTGCTCATACAAGGACCGTGGACATCTTCAGTGTCCATGCCCCCTCTCTTAGTTGCTGAACTGCCTGTAGCTCCCACATGCAAGTGGCTGCTTTGTCCCACGAAGGGCAGGAAGAAGCAAGAGATCCATTGCTAAGTCTGGGGATGCCCAACTGCAGAGTGCTTTGCTCGGGTCCTGGCTGCCCGGTGGTAACTTGCTCTTGAGCGTCACCCTGACAGACCTCTCGCAGCTCCCCTCCCATTCTCCCCTCTTCCAAATTCAAGGCAGGCAGAAATGGTAAAGGAGTTTGCTAGGTAAACACAGAGAAATGCTTACCACAGCATTACTGCTGCGTAAATGGTGCACAGAACAGAGACGTGTGATGCGTCTGAGGAGTGTGCCTCTCTCAAGCACATTTTGATTCCACAGACAAGCTGTGTAATCCCTGGAGCGGCTTCAGACCACGTCTTTTCTTTTCTAGCAGCGTGTCGGCAGGTGAGCATTTGATAGAGCACTTCTTAGCAACTCCCCTTTGTCCTGCAGCACAACACATGCCTTTTGTTGTTTCTGCTTCTTTGAACGGTTCCTGATTTACATCATTATAGCTCAGAGCAGAGGCTGTCCCCAGCAATGGCAATGTGGTTATCCAGCTTTTAAGATTAGCATTTAATCCAGCACTTTTTTGTTTTTAGTATTAATTTGGTTAAGCATAATCTTTTCAGTGATACCGGGTTCTTTAGATGTGTGGGCACAGTAGCCAGGGTGGCTTAGGAACAGACTTACAAAGGTGTTCAGGCAGCCCAGGCTGCAGTCTGGTGGGGTGTCCAGCTCCCTGGAGATGAGACATTAGGCCTCTGGGTTCCCAAGCTGCTAAAAACGTTTCTTTCTTAGGCATTAAGGACTGTGACCTCACAAGGACTGAAGCACCAAACTGCAGGATCTCAGGGAGCGTGCAGGAGTCAGTTATCCAAATGTTCCTAATGGCGTGGGCTGGAAGCACAGATATGGCCCTGGGTCTGCACACAGTGCACAGGAGTAATTTTTTTGTGTTGCTGTGGATATCCCTGAGTGACAAAACTGTGTATGATGTCCCCTGTAATTGATGGTTAATACTAAGAAGTTACTTCTTTTCAACTACAAACAGGATCATACGGACCAAGGTGCAGCAGCCACCCAATCAGCAAGTCCCAGCCTCCAGTCACAGCATAGGTGAGAAAAACTTTTCTATATTAAAAAAAGAAAAAAAAAAAAAAAGAAAAAGCATAATGGATTACAAATATTCTAAAGAACTTTTAATCATTCTTATGGACAGATAATTCTGCATAAAACACTTCAGCACACGTGCTAATGCACCTTCTTTGTCATTCTCCAAGGACTGAACATAGTAAAGGAATTTTATAAATACTGCTAAAAGGTTTTGAATTTTAGTGATTATTATGATAAATAGCTTTCACTGTGAGACAGAAAATTGAAATCTAAACCAACCCCCCCCACTAATGGGGGTCTATAGAATGTCAGATAATTAAAGTAATAAATCAAGAAAGGGATACTTATTCATAACGTTTTCTGCATCATTAGTCAGTAAGTAGTTCTGAATGTGTTTTTTTTCATCTATCACCCATCCCTTCCATAATTCTTTGTGCACTTTGCGCTCTCGAGCCAATGGGTAGCAAAACTTCCCAAAACTTCAATTCAGGGGGAGAGCAGCAATGCTCAGCCAGGAGCCAGTGCCGGAGGGGCCGTATCCAGAGGAGCGTCCTGGCTTTCTGCAGGGAGATCTGCCACAGCCAGGCATGTGCTGTGCGTGCCTCAGCTGCTCCGTGTCTCCGTGCTGCAGAATGGGCATTCCCCCGCTGGCCTCTGTTAGCCAAGGCAGGCTCTGTGCTCACACAGACATCCTCAACAGTGTGGCAGCATGGGCTTGGAAGTGCCAACATGATCTCTGAGGAGGCTGAGCAGCATCATTCCACTTTGTTAGCCTAGAGGCTGCTTCTCATGGAGAAAAAGTCAGAGCAAAATGAATTTACTTCATATTTTATTTCGGGGAGCCTCAGAGCCTCTCAGCCACCTGTCACCCACGTCACCCCGTGTCCCACAGGGGTTTGATGCTGTGTGCTGGGCTGCGGGCTCAGTGCAGCATCGGTGTGCCCACAGTGCTGGGAAAGACCGCTCACACACTGTCCTCTCTCTGTGCCCCAGACCCATCTGCCCAGGGGCCTGAGTGGCTGCTGCTGCTCAAAGCCTTTGCCGGCCTCCCATTCTGGTGACACGTGGTTTTCCTTTCAGGCTGGTGCTGGTGCCATCCTGTGCTCTGACCTCTTGTCCTTGCCTTGCAGCCTCCACAGGCTCCGTGACCCAGGTGTCCTCTGTCAGCACTGACTCTGCTGGCTCGTCCTACTCCATCAGTGGGATCCTGGGCATCGCCTCTCCTGGCACCGAGAGCAACAAGCGCAAGCGCGATGAAGGTAATGGCAGCTGTTTTCTCCTGGGGCACTGAGCTGGTGAGGTGGGCCCCCTCAGGTGTGCTGGACATGTGGGGCTGGCAGGGCCGAGGCAGGGCTGCCAGTGATGGACTGTGCCTGGTTTGGGGGCAGCAGCCCAGCCCGGGGTCCTTGTGCAGCCTCCTGCAGAACAGCACTGCTGTAGAAAGGGGGGCAGAGGATGTGTCACTGCTTTTGATCGCCTCCTCCCAGCTGACGTGGCATCTCCCTGCCAGCAGTGAAAGGGAGGGGAATTCTCCTCGTATGGGTTCTGAAGACACCTGAAATTGAAATAAATAAATAAATAAAGTGAATAAAATAAAAGCCAGGGAAGTGTCCCTAAACACAAAGAGACAGAAAATCGTCAGTAGAGTGACGTGTGTGAAGGCATGGGAGATGTTGGTTGCTGGCTGGGGACAGTGCTGCTCGCAGGGAGGCCATGCATGCTGTTCTGCCGTGCCACCATCCTGCTCTACAGAAGACTGAGCTCCTGCTTCTTGCCTTTGGGCACCTGTGTAACCTGCTCCAACTCTTTTGGAGAGCCTCCTGCTGGCCTTGTGCATGCAGAGGTCCCATCTGTGCCTCTGAGGAGAGGCAGAGGCTTCTACAGAGCGCAGAAGTGGCCCCAGGGGTTGTGAAGGAGGAGAGAAGAGGTTGTTTGCCACGGATTGCCAAGCACAGGAGAAAGCAATGGCATTCACTGAGCCTGGGAGTCACTGGTTGGCCTTGTAGGAACATGATGGATGTGAGACCAACCTCCCAACACCCAGGCGTGCTGGTGAATGCCCTGGCACTGCTTTGCATTCAGCACAGCTCATGAGCCATGTGAGGTGGAGACCGCATGCGTGTCTTGTTCCTGCCTCTCCACCTCCCAGCCCCTGGGGCTTCCTGTGTGGGTGCAGGGAGAGGTGAGTGGGGTGGGAAGGAGCAGTGGCAGCACGAACCTGACTTGGGGAGAAAGTGGGCAGGCGATTGGTGAGGAGCCTGAGCTGTGGCAGCAGGAAGGAGGCTGTTTGCAGAGGAAATGCACTGCTGGATCACAGTCATGTTTGGTTTGCTGAAACTGGGAGAGCTTTGTGGGGATGATTTCAGCCACGTGTGTGTGAGTCTACAGCTGTGAAAGTTCAGGTACTTGATAAATATATCTGTCTTAATTAGATCTACCATTGCACATGTGATTTTTCCCCCAAATCAAGGCTATAAGTGCACACATAAATATCTACGTTAAAGCAGATAGGGTAGAAATTTTGTGTTGTATCAGACATGGAAGGAGAGAAGCATTTTGTGTTCCGAGACTGTCACAGCACTGTCCTGAAGCATCAGTTCTTAGATAGGTATTATTACAGAGACTCTTATTATTACAGAGACTCTCTTATTACAGAGACTCTCTTATATAATCAAGAAGGAAGAAATTCTCTCTCTAATGAAGAAAAACTTGAAGTGCTTCCACGGAAAGACCAGGGGCATCTTTGAAAAATTCCCCAATCTTTGGCAATTCAATATTAGAGATCACATAATTTATAAAACAACGCCTGTTGTTTTGGCAGCAGGAGTCATGATCTGTGAGGTTGCGAATTGGACAGCACTGCTGTCTTCAGCAGACCACTTTAACTCCTTTTTTAAAGGCTCACAGCTGCAGAAGTGGAGAGGATTGTGAGGAACAAGCCCTTGTGCCTAACCAGCTACTTCAGCCTCTTTGTTTGAAGAGATTCCTGGGGAGACTCTGTGGCCCTTCCTCATCCTGCTGAGCAAGAGTTATCTCTGCACAGCCAGGCATGAGATGTTCATAGAAGAGTCCCAAGGCTCCACAGTGCAGGTGGCAGAGAGGTGGATCAAACGCTGGCGAAGAGGAATACGTCATCTCTAAGCTGCAGACTGTATCATGAAGCAGATGCACAAGGGGGCAGAGTTAACTTTACCTTCTCCTGACTTCTGAGAGCCAGAGGGAGACGACTTCCATAGCAGTGCTTTTACATCATCTCTTTTTGATGCACTGCTTCCTTTCTTGGTAGCTGTAGGTGCTTGCCTGCTGCTGTAAGTCGGTACTCATGTTTCATGTATGAGTAGAGCTACAGATTGTGCAGCACTTCTCTGGGCTGGGACGTGAAGAGAGGTGGACTCACCCCTTGGCTCTTCCAATGGCATTGAATGCTTTTTGTGATTTGCCATCAAGGTTTGTTCCTCTCACTCTTGACATTTTTTTCAGCAAATGCCACCAGCCTTTAACACAGCAGGGAGCTTGCTGGATAGCAACAGGGGCAAACCAAATCAGACAGCCTATTGGTTATATAACGGAAGGTGTCATTTTTTTCCCCTGCTGTAATAATTGGAGCAGATATGCCTTCATAGGGGATCACTTGTTTTCACTTGTGGTTTGAGGACATGCTACTGGAGACTGACACAAAAAGCAGGCTGCTCTATAACTGTGCAGAGTGTTACTGTCAACCTTCTTAGCTTCAAGTAGCAGATGCTGCTGGGAAGCAGTCTTGCTGTTTTGCTTTCAGATTCCCTTTTTTTAGCTGTTTCACATGCTTCACATGCATGTGGGCCCATAAATTTGGAAGAAGAACAGGTGGAGCAGAAAGGTGCAGATTGATCTGATTGAGCCATCCGGCAATCAGTGGTGTTTTTATAGGAAACCAAGGATGGACATGCTGGCAGGCAGTGAGGCCCTGTGTCAGAATGAGCAGTGTGTTCTATCAAGTGTTTGTAGCTGCTAGTAGAAAAGGAACTGATGTTACTGCAGGTTTCCATCCTGCTTACTGCAGAGCTCTGCAGATACACAGAGCCAACAAAAGCAGTTGATTTCAATAGAGTGACTTTCCCTGCAGGTTCATGCTGTGCCACTGAGAGGGATCATGAAACAGATGCACATGCCAGACCAGACAGGAGCATCTGAGATGTTCCTGTGAGCTGATGGTTTCTCTGCAGGGTCACTCCTCCAAAGCCATGACAAAGCTCAAGACTCTTGTTTCCCTGAGGGCTGTGTGTTGAGCAGGAGGCATGCTGTGCATAGTGCTTCTCTGTAAGCTGGATCAGTTCCCTTGGGGCAAGGGGAGCATAAGGGCTGATGGTCCTGCATGCAGTAAGATCAAGTTCCATAATGCAGCACAACCTTTTACTTCCAGTTCATGAGGACTTGAGCTGCTCAGTGTGAACAAGGTCTGTCATCTGCTGTTTGTACGTCAGGTCTACCAGCAAGGACTGTTGCCATCAGGAGTGGCCCAGGGACCCGTAGAGGGAGGCTCCTTTCCTGTACCCTTGTAGACAGACGTGACTCTCAGTGAATTTGTAAAGAGATGCTGGAAGAATTGGGTGAATTTCTGTTCTTATGGCTCTTCTTGCTTTATACAGTGCATAGATAATTTCTTTACGTGGCATGAGCAAACACTGCGTCTTTTGATAGTTGGTTGCATGCCCGGACATTAGTCTTCTACCAAGAAGACAGTTCTGCATCTGTAGACATTTAAATGTTCTTAGCAGGCTAGCCCTGTCCAAGCCCAGCAGCCTGGCTTATGTGGAAACATACTTGTGCTCTTGCATCTGACAAAAAAACATGGAATTTGCTGATACCAGCAGGCAGCAGGGGCACTCTGTGAACATCATCAGCAGCCGAGTCAGGCTGAAGTCTGTCTGCATGCAGTAGTCAGTAAGTTCAGGACATTCGCTGTGTCAGTCCACACTGTTAAACCAGAGAGCACCTGTACACAGGCACAGCCGCTGGCTGGCCCCATCCTGCTATGGTTAGTACTGCCTCAGTGTGATTTTGTGCAAGTTGCCATCCTCCTGGTTAGTGTCTGCTATTGCAGAGATTGGCACGGTCTGGACCTTGCTTCTGCTGCTCAGCATGTGTGCAGCTAATATATTACAGAGGATAGGGGAGTTTCGTTACAGGCTCGCAGGCTGTGCTAGAACAGTCAGCCTGTTTTTCCTTGGGCAGATGCAGCTGGTGAAAGGAAAGAGCTACATGTAGCACTGAATGGCTTACGGCAAAGTCTTTGCCAAACTGGCTCCACACGGGGAAATGCAGCCAGAAACAAGGCAGGAGAATCTAGCAAGAAACTGTCCGTAAACTCCTGCACAGGATGTGTCTGTCTGCTACCCACCCACATCCTCTTGCTGCAGGAGACGGTTGGCAGATTTGAGTACCTGCGCAGAACTGCTCTGCTGACCATTTTTCAAATTCACTGGTGTGGAGTCTTCTCAGTGATGTAGGCTTATGGGGAATTGAAACTACCATGGCAGGAGACCTTTGTTTGTATGGGTTGTTTGTTTTGTTTCCATTTTCTGCAGCCACAGCCTTGTGCTGCTCTCAGCATCTGATACAATAGTGTAGATGTGTATGCTTCTTTTGCTGAGCTCAGTTCTTTGAAATATGACTTTTCTTTAACTGCAGTCTAACCATAGACTTTGTATGCTTAAAGGTAGTTGGGTCACAGCCTTCTGTTGAAGAAGGTAAGCCAACAAGAGGAGCAGAGATGCTAATGAGAATGAAAAGAAACCTCGTGCGTGTGTGTGTCTGAACAACCCAATGCCTGATAAAGCCATTCCATGCTACGATCATCACATTTTCACACAGGGATTCCCCAGGTTAAGCTCATTTCTAGGCATCCAAGCAGTACCAATCTGTGCAGCCTGCTGAAGCTGCAGGACACATTTCCCGTGGTGCCCTTGAGCCAGTCTCACATTGAGGGTTTGTAAATTCTAGGAGTAATTGCATCACCAGAACAAGCCATGGCCTCCCACTGTGAATAAATAAAAACTGTAAGCATTACAGACAGGCACAGGTGAGAATGCTGCTTTACAGAGCACTGTGACATCAGCTTCCAGGAGAGCTTAATGCAGAGGAAGGCCAACAAAAAGTAGGAGCTGACAGCAGAGGGAGAAGTGGCAGAGAGCTGCAGTGGGAAGCAGATCTGATGTAGCCCGGTAGCCTGCCTCTTTCCCCTGAATCGCCTGTCACTTTTTGGAGAATGGGACCTGGC